GTGGTTGTATTCTCGTTTTCTTGGTCTCATTTGATAGAATGGAAACTATATTATAGAAAATGGAGGTGATTTTGATTAATTTTACTATAAAAAGAACCTGGAAATGGAGCACAAAGTACAGGAAATGTTTGATTTTTGCCGATGTTCAAAAGTGAACAAATGATGTCATTGTCCAATAAATGTCCAAATAGCCATTCTAATACGCAGTACATGAATGGGTTGATGTAATTTTTACAATTATTACAGTATTGCAGTAGTCTGCATAACAGTAAATCTTCTATTTTTTGTTTGAATAAAATTTCAAAATAAAAAGCAAGAGTAATATCACAGGGACCTGGAGACATGACTGATGAACAAAGAAAATGTTATTTTAGAGCCAGGAATGTCTGCATTGTTCATTCTGGACTTATTTTGAAATTGTCGTATTTTTTAATTTTCGTGAAATTGGCCAAATTGCAAATTTCTGACCATGTTATTGGGTAGTTGAAATCGGTAAATGGGCAGTTTCTTGTACTCAATCGATAGAAAAAATAGAGTTCTGAAGAAATAGTTATGAGTTTGGTTGACTGGAGTAACGGAATTAGCCGAAAATAGGGCTCAAAGTGGGCGAAATTGCCGATTTTTAAATATCGCCGAAGTCGCTAACTTCGCGAGAGCGTAATTCCGTCAGTTTTCCATCAAATTTCGTTTTTTTGGTGTCTTTACAATCGGGAAAAGATTCTCTATCATTTCATAAGAAAAAATAATTTTTTTTTTTTTCGAATATTTTGCGACACCAGAAGCAACTTCAGGATTTGGCCCTTCGACAGTCAAAGGGTTAAATATCAAATATTAAGTATGAGATGGGGAGCCAGGGCTACCTACACCTGGGCTACCTACACCTGACTTCCTACAAATAAGTACTACTCGCCTCTCTCCCTACATTAAGATTACAAATACTTTAAGATAAGTAATGAATGTACTGTGAATGTATTTTACTTTGTGTTTTTAATGCCTAGTTCTATTACTAACTTAATATAATTTAGTGTAAACTTGTTGTCTGGCATTTATATGCATTTGTAAGTGGAAAAACTGGCATTCTGCTTTCCAGCGATGTCTCCTTTCCGGCGATAGCCTGGAACCTAACCCGCCGTAAAAGTGGGGCCCTACTGTACTCAAAAATCATCTCTCTCAATAATAACCATGCCCAGACTATGCTAAACCCTAACCAAAATTAAAGCAACTCTCCCAAATATTTTATTATACTTTAACTATTAAGCCATTATTACAAACTTAAAAATGTTAGTTTGTATTATAAATTGTACTACCTCATATTAACAATAGAGTAAAATGTTGAATATTGTATTCTACCACTCTTCAATTGTCTAGACTTTAGTAGTCTATAAGCTGAAGATTGAAACACTTATGCAACATATGGGAATCTTTAATGAAGAAATGTTTCACCACTTCACCACACAATGGCTTCATCAGTCCAATAAAGATTCCCATATGTTGCATAAGTGTCTCAATCTTCGACTTGTCAGTTTTAAACCATTTTTCATATCTGTCAGACACTGGAACATTATGGGATCTTGATACAAAGAATTCTTCAACCTTGTCCAACCTTTGGATGAAGACCTACTTCGACTAGTGGATGGTACAACTATGACTCCGCCTCCTCCTGCTTCGCCTCACCTGACTACTTCTACAGCCCTATGCTGTACTTTCTACAAGACTGATGGACTGAACACATCGACTCCAGGTTGAGGGACTGATTACCTCAAACTCCTCCTCTCCTCACACCCTTCTGATTTGTATTGGACTGATGAAGCCACTGTGTCGCTAAACATTTCTTCAATAAAGATTCCCGTATGTTGCATAAGTGTCTCAATCTTCAACTTGTCGGTTTTAAACCATTTTTCACAGTCTAAGTATTAGGTTAAATCTGCCCAAAATGTCTCGGCATGATAGTCGCTTTCTTTGTACCAATCAAATTATGAAATGTAAACACACATTATAACCTTAGCAAAGAGATAAAATTTTATTTTATTATTATTATTTTATAATTAATGCTCTAAAAAGCATGAAGTAGGTTTTGTCTATATTGAGAGTAAGTTTGTTGGGTGTCATCAAACTTGATATTTTATGTAGCTCGCTGTTTACAGTGTTACAAAGTATAGTAGGGCTTGGGTGGGAGAAGATGTAAGTGGTGTCATCTGCGAAAAGAACCGGTTTAAGGGGTCACGATGCATTTGGGAGGTCAATGATGTAAATAAGAAGGTGTAGAAGACCTAGGACACTTCCCTGGGGCACTCCAACAACTACAGGCTGAGTATTGGAGGTCACGCCATTTGTGTATACATACTGGTGTCTACCACTAAGATAAGATTTTAGGTAACTGAGTGTGTCCTCTGACCCTGTAATGCTCTAGCTTTAGGTGCATGATACTGTGGTCTACTGTATCAAATGCTTTCCATAGGTCTATGAAGAGCCTCCCCCCCCTCCCCCACTCTTCAATGGCCTAAACCTACTCGCTCTACAAAACATTCATTTATATTACTATGCAACCTACATTTACAGAACAACCATTTCTAATATTAATCCTGACCTTAAGTGCTTTCTTGACAGTTGCAACAAGACCCACAGACATAACACTAGGCACAAAAATCTCTGACCTTTCCTGTGTTAGGCTAAATTTTTTCAAAAACTCAATATACATAAAAGGACCCAAAATCTGGAACTCTCTGCCAGAAATCTCCGGAACCACTGGCTCAGCTAGCATTATTAAAACTACAGTTAAAAAACATCTTATCTCCTTAACCTACTCCAGCCTATCATAATTTGTTATTTAACACATCGGCCATTTCCCATCACGGCAGGATGAACCAAAAAGAATGAAAAAACTTTCATCATAAATACGTATGTAAAATCTATATGTGCATTTGCTTAATATCATGAACATAGGTAAAACATTATACTGTAATCAATATATACTTACTGTCAATATATGTAATCTTCTCAAATGTTAATCATTCATTGTGTCCACCTAAGGTTAATAATCAAAACTGTAATTCCTCTCTACCAAACTTATTAAAGCCATATAGCATGAGCTAATAGAATATTTAATATCTTTATTTACTACAAGTACATGTACAAGGGACACAGTCCTAGCTGACATCAATGGCATACTATCTATATAGGAAGCTCCTTGTTATGCTCAGCATTTCGGGCAATTTAGGTCAGTGTCCCATGATGTGACCCACACCAGTCGACTAACACCCAGGTACCCATTTTAATGATGGGAAACATCGATAACAGGTGTAAAGAAACATGCCCAATGTTTCTACTCTGGCTGGGAATCGAACCCAGGCCCTCGCCATGTGAAGCGAGAGCATTAGCCACCAGGCTAAATCATCTAATAACTCATCTAATAACCAATGTACAAATTTACTGCATTGTTATTGCCTCATTAATCTTAAGTTTGTCCATAATGCTTTGCATATAAAGGGACTTTTAGCATGTTTACCTGGAGAGAGTATACTCAATTGTTATACTCCTTTGTACAAACATATGCTGAAATAAAGTTCTTTTTCTTATTCTCTAGCTGTCTTGCTAGAAATGCATTCACAAAAAATTCACAACAAAACAAGATAAAAATTATTATCCCTTTAGTTTGGTAAGGAAGCTTAACAGTGATTACAGTGCAGTAAATCATACATAACTCACTCTTACTAGGGAAAACTTTATAAAACATTTTTGTCCATCCTCAACAATTACACGGCACTGCAGTGTGCTTACAACACTGAGCTATAAAAAGTGCACTTGCTGAAAAATCTGTTTTGTTACAACAGTAAAGTTTCCTAAATGTAATAAAAATAGTTGCAAAACATGACAGCAAAATGTTGATATCTGTGAATGCAAAACTACCCTAACTCTAGCATTCAATGGATATTCCTATGGATGATCCCATGAATAAACTCAAAGATTTGTGGATACCGAGTGAGAAAACAGTAAAATCCATAACATTAGGCAACTACAAATAAAATACCAGCAGTGTTTGTGAATACATGGTGAGTAGAGTTGTACTAATTCCTTAATTAAAGTCCTATAAAAGTTATATTAGAAAACAGAGCAATGCTGCTGACCACCGAGAAGAATGTGTTAATAAGTCATACTTGGGGGAAAAGCACAACTTGAAAAACTAAATAAATCTCTTGATGAAAATTATTTTTTCTATCAGGCACTCAACTTATAGTGGAAAACTACCACCTCTGAAAAGTGAAGTCTTCACCAATGAGGTCAATCAAACACTTCTACATGTAATGACTTCATGTCACTTACATATATGTATTTTATTCTGTACAAATGTTAACAACATCCTAAAACACAAGTGTGATTCATATATTTGATATTTGTGGCAACCTCAGTAATGTATTAGTCTCAGACAACAAAATGTAGAATTAGATTTAAGTAAGTTTTATTCTAAAAATAAAGTAACATACAAAAAATCCAAAAACTGGAGAGCAATAGTCAGGGTAACATTTCTCATGTGCTAATAAGATGTTAAAGCTGGCTTACTACAGCTTACTTGTGTTAATCAAATAAAGATAAAATTCTTTGTCTCCCCTGATGCCTCAGTGCACTACCCACACTTTGTTGCCCCTCTCAACAATTCTAAGATTTATCTCAGTTTTCACAGACTCATCCACTGACAAGTTTGCTCCCGAATATTTCAACACATTTACTTCCTCACTATTGCCTTCTCTTGTTCTTAGTACAGTGGACCCCCAGTTTACGATCAGCTCCCAATGCGACCAATTATGTAAGTGTATTTATGTAAGTGCGTTTGTATGTGTATGTTTGGGGGTCTGAAATGGACTAATCTAATTCACAATATTCCTTATGGGAACAAATTCGTTCAGTAATGGCACCTAAACATACTTCTGGAATTAAATAATATCGTAAACCGGGGGGTCCACTGTATAATCAAAGACAATGAAGGTGCAATATTTAATACTCACTGAGGCTGAGAAATACCAATGCGGTCCAACATACGAGAGAACTTAAATCTATTCTCTGCTCCGTCTATAGATTCTGGGGACGTGCCAAGAATGCGAGCCTTCTGATGATGCAGGTCCATAGCAATGTTGTTAGGAAGCTGTCCTCCCATGCTCAAGATCACTCCTCGAGGACACTCAAGGTTGTAGATGTCCATAACAACCTGGTATGTGGAATTTAAAAGCTATAGTATGAGCTTTTACAATTTCCTTCCTACTGAAAATAAAGTAATGAAATACTACAGCCTTTCACCCACCTCCTGTGTATAGCTCAACTTTCAAAATGAATTCTGCCAGTAAGGTCATCATCATTATTATCATGATCTCAATGGTGCCTCTGGCCTCATTATGGTGTAGAGGCTTAAAACAACATCTAGTTACCAGTGTAGAGAATTCGCTAGGCAAAAGAAATCAAAATTCAATATAAACCCTTATGCAACTGATCTTTTGGATGTTAAAATGTTATAAAATACTGACACGTTGAAAATTAAGACATGTGTAACAGATGAGTATCTTCACTGTTGAAACACTTCACCTACGCAGTATGCATCATTAGTCAGATACAGAAGAGAATGCATTGTAGGCAGCAGGAGTAGTGGCAAGGTAAACATGTTGTAATCAATTTGTCAACTTTGGAGAAACAGTTTCAGGTTGTCAGTCCCTCAGCCTGGAGAAGTGTTCAGCATGACTGATTACATCAACTTTACCCTGCCACTACCCCTGCTACATAAATACATTCTCTTCTGTATTTTACTGATGCAGCCTAAAGTGTAGGAGAAACATTTCAACAATAAAGATATCAAACTGTTGCACATGTTGTCCTAATGATCTTTTGTAGCTTCACCTTCAACCTTTTCCTCCATTAACTAGTTACCTACGTAGTACAATGTATTCATCTATTTTTTTCTGATTTATCACATGTGTGCCATTCTCTTATTTCAGAAAGAAAAACCATTTAATTCCTGCAAAATTAATGAATAAGGACTAAATTGTTTTTTAAATTGCCATATATGTCACTGCACATATAAGTGAAGTAATAATAGCAAAGTTTTAAAACTGACAATAAATAACTATAATACAATGCTAAATTCAACATTGGGAATTCAATGTAGTATATAGAAGATTTTTTCTTTTACCACACCAGCCATCTCCCTCGAAGGCAAGTTTCAACATCACTCACTCCATCAGTGTCTAGCCAGAGGTGTACTGACACTACAGTTCAGATGCTCCACCAAACTGGAACATCCCCACCCATCCTTCAGAGTGCTTCTACCTCCAGGACTCAAGTCCAGCTAACCAGTTTTACATGAATCCCTTCATATATGTTGCTCTGCTCATTCTCCAATGCACATTAAGTCATAAAAAACCACTTGCCTCCACTCACTTCTATCTAACATGCTCACACATGCTGGTTGGATGTCCAAGCCCCTTGCATACAAAACATCCTTAAATTAATTAACCCCCTCCCTCCAACCTTTCCTAGGATGACCCCTACCCCACCTTCCCTCCACTACAGATTTAGGGAATATATCTCACCTCAAATGAAATCTCATCAAAGTAAAGTCGGTCACACATGTCATAATCAGTTGAAACTGTTTCTGGGTTATAGTTGACCATGATAGTCCTGTGACCCAGCTTGCGTAGTGTACGAATGCACTGAACAGCACACCAGTCAAACTCCACCGATGACCCAATTCTATATACACCTGATCCTGTTTCAGAAAAAACACAGTTAATGTGGCACTAACACACTATAAAACAGAATTTAGTCACTGAACATATTCTGCACTACAACATTAACAGCTCTTAAGGAAAGAAGTACATAGAGTAAAATATATAGTACAGTGGACCCTCCATTTTCATTGATCTCTGGTATCGCCGATTTTGGTTTTGGCCGACTCTTCGTCGATTTTTTTGGTTCTGTTTTCGTCAATAACCTCCATTTTTGTCAATCGTATGGAAACTGTCCAGTCTCCACTGCGCAGACAAAGCTGCCTTCCACACGCATTCTCTGCCAGTGTAGCGTTGTTTCTCGTTGAGTGAACACATCCTGCCAGGTCATATGAAACATTTCATAATAATCCATTGTTTTTGCCACTTGTTTATTGTGTGTGACTGCTACATAAGTGACAATGGCCCCAAAGAAAGCTCCTAGTGCCAGTGCTTTGGTAAAGAAAGTGAAGAACACCACAGAACTGAACAAAGAAATCCTAAGAAAATATGATAGTGGCATGTGCACTGCTGAACTCGGCAGGATGTATGGGAAGTCGCCATCATCAGCCAGCTCCATTGTGGCAAAGAAAAAAGAAATCATGGAAGCTTATGTTGCAAAAGGGGTGAATGCAATAACCAAACAAAGATCCCAAACAATTGAAGAAGTGGAGAAATTGTTGTTGGTGTGGATCAGAGCAAAAAAGTTAGCAGGGGATAGTGTTTTGCAGTCTATAATTTGTGAAAAGGCAAGGCAGTTGCATGACGATCTCAAAGAAACTGCCAGAAACAAGTACTGATGTAGGTGAATTTAAGGCCAGCAAAGGCTGGTTCAAAAAATTCAAGAAGTGAATTGGCATACACAGTGTTGTAAGGCATGGTGAGGGTGCCAGTTCAGACAAACAAGTGGCTGAAAAATTCATGTGGGAATTCAAATGTTATGTAGAGGCTGAAAAATTCCAACCCCAACAAGTGTTCAATTGTGACAAAACAGGCCTGTTTTGGAAGAAACCTACATTATGCAGGAGGAAAAGGGACTCCCAGGACACAAGCCTATGAAAGACAGGCTATCTCTCTTGTTGTGTGCTAATGCTAGTGGGTATTTCAAAGTGAAGCCTTTACTCATGTATCACTCTGAAAATCCCAGTGTGTTCAAGACAAACAGTGTTGTGAAGAGTAAATTGTATGTGATGTGGAAGGCTAACAGTAGGGCATGGGTCACTAGGGAAATTTTCCTGGAATGGTTCGATGAAGTGTTTGGCCCGAGTGTGAAGAAATATCTCCTGTTAATGGACAATGCTCCTGCTCATCTTCCAGACTTGAAAGACCAACTGTCTAAGGAATTCAGTTTTGTAACAGTGAAGTTCTTGTCTCCTGACACCACTCCCCTCATCCAGCCCATGGACCAGCAGATCACTGCAAGCTTCAAAAAACTGTACACCAAGCAATGTTTCAAAGGTGCTTTGACATAACCTCGGACTCTGAATTGACCCTATGAGAGTTCTGGAAGAATCACTTCAGTATCTTCCACTGGATAGGCCTTATAGATAAGGCTTGGCAGGGGGTGACTTCAAGGACGATGAACTCTGCTTGGGGAAAATTGTGGCTAGACTGTGTCCAAAAAAAAAGATTTTGAAGGGTTTGAGGCTGACCCTGTCGACCCTACACCTGTTGTGCAATCAACTGTGGCATTGGGGAATTCCATGGGGTTGGATGTGAGTGGCAACGATGGGGAAGAGTTGGTGGAGGACCACAATGAAGGGCTAACCACTGATGAGCTGCAAGAGCTTCATCAGTAACAGCAACAGACCACAGCTGAGGAAATTGCTTCCGAGGAGGAAGAGAGATGGAAGAAGGTGCCTTCTTCAAAGATTAAGGAAATTTGTGCAATGTGAACTAAAGGGCATTCATTTGTGGAGGAGCATCACCCTGAGAAAGCTGTTGCAATCCATGCTGGTGACTTTTACAATGACAATGCCATGTCCAATTTTAGGCAAATCTTAAAGAGACGCCAGAAACGAGCACTCTGGACAAATATTTTGTGCGACGGGTCCAGTGACTCAAGCTGACCCTAGTGGCATTAAAAAACAAAGGAGTGCAGTGACCCTGGATAAGGACTTGGTACCTAGAGTCCTTATGGAGGAGGACTGCCCATCCAAAGAAAACCTCTCTTCCCTTTCCCCTCCTCCCCATCTTCCTTCCAGTGACAACAGCCTTCAATAAAGGTAAGTGTCATGTGTAATGTTCATTCCTCTTTGCATGTAACTCTATCATTGAGATAAAAAACAAATTTTTGTTGGTACTTCTGGGTGTCTGGAATGGATTAATTCCATTACAGTATTTCTTATGGGGAAAATGGTTTCGGTTGTGGCCGATGGCTCCAGAACGAATTAAACACGAAAACCGAGGGTCCACTGTGTTATAGGGACCAAGACCAAGCTGGTTATTAACACAGTAACAACCCTATCTTACAACTGCTGACTTTTTCAGCAACATGACAGACATTTGCAATAACTCATCTATTTAGATGTCTTGCCAGAAGTACATGTAAAGAATTCATAACCTGCAAGAGGTAGTCAAGGTACATGTGACAATACTCTTGTGTGTGTGCACTGCCTCCCTGACATTACAACCTTGCTACCACTCATATTTTAATATTTCTAAGAGATATTACAGCATCCTGAAGTCTTTTATGTTTATCAAAGTTTTATTTAGGTAAAATTAACCCAAACAGTATTAATTGTGAAGTGTTTATGTCACAGAAAAACTAAAAATAATCCATAAGGTCTATGGTAGACAAAAGTGTTAAAATATCAAACACAAATATTTACTTAATACAAATCAAAAACCATGACACCACCATTAACCCTTAAACTTTTCAGAGTCGGTCCCGTATATGTACGGCTTGATAGCCAGTGTCGGTCACGTATTTATATGCCAAAATCCTAGGGCCTTCATATCTGGTGGAAGAAAGCTGGTAGGCCTAAATATAAAAGAATGGGTCTGTATGGTCAGTGTGCACAGTATAAAAAAATCCTGCAGCACGAAGTACATAATGAGAAAAAAAAAAAAAAAAACTCCGACAGTGTTTTTGGTTTAAAGCAGTGAATTTGTAGTGTATTTTTGTATTGTATTTATGGCTGCATTCTCATTTTCTTGGTCTAATTTGATAGAATGGAAGATATGTTGCAGAAATAGAGATGATTTTGATTGGTTTCAATGAAAAGTACCTTGAAATTGAGTTCAAAATAGCGAAAATGTTCGAGTTTTGCCGATGTACAAAAGTAAACAAATCACACAACGCATCCAATATACGTCAACTGGCAAGTCTAACATTCTTTCACAAGTGTGTTGATATTATTTATACCATTTTTACACTAATGCAGTATTCTGCATAATAGTAAATCTTCTATTTTTTTGTAAAAATAAAAATTCAAAATGGAAAGCAAGAGAAATATAAGACGGGCCTGGAGACATGACTAATGAAGAGAGAAAATGTTATTTTACTGCCAGGAATGTTTATCTTGTTTATTCTGGACCCTATTTTGAAATTGGCATCTTTTGAAATTTGGTTGAAATTGGCCAAATTGCCAATTTCTGACCACTTTATTGGGTAGCTGAAATCGGTAAATGGGCGGTTTCTTGTACTCAGTCGATAGAACAAATTGACTTCTAGTGAAATAGCTATGATTTTAGTCGACTGGAACAATGGAATTGACCGAAAAAGGGGCTCAAAGTGGGCTAAATTGCCAATGCATAAATATCACTGATATCACTAACTTCACTAGAGTGTAATTTCCTAAGTTTTCCATCAAATTTCATACTTTTCGTGCCATTATCATCGGGAAAAAGATTATCATTGGTGGGAATCGGCCAGTGTGATAAAAAAAAAAAAAAAAAATCTTGACACTCAAAGGGTTAAGCTGTCCAAATGTACATCTACATATTTACTGTTAGCACTATGAATACAGTGGTACCTTGAGATACAAACAGCTCAAAATACAAACAATTACACACGTGTCTTTATGTAAGTGCTTTTGTAAGTGTATTTTCAGGGGTCTGAAATGGATTAATCTAATTTACATTATTCCTTATGGGAACAAATTCGTTTGGTATCGGCAAGGTATCCCAAGGTACCACTGCATTTTGGAAAAACTAAAAACTAAACGAAGAGGGCAATTTTCTGTGTGTAATAACACCAACAAAAATTTTTAGCGCCAATATTTTTCAAGATACAGTGGAACCTCAAATTTCAAATGTATCGCTTATCAAATGTATCGCTTATCAAAGTAGTAGGTTGGTAGACAGCAACCACCCAGGGAAGTACTACCGTCCTGCCAGATGACTGTGAAACAAAAACCTGTAACTGTTTTGCATGATGGTAGGATTGCTGGTTTCTTTTTCTGTCTCATAAACACGCTAGATAACAGGGATATCTTGCTACTCCTACTTACACTTTGGTCACACTTCACAGACACGCACATGCATATATTATATATATACATACATCTAGGTTTTTCTCCTTTTTCTAAATAGCTCTTGTTCTTTTTTATTTCTTCTATTGTCCATGGGGAAATGGAAAAGAATCTTTCCTCCGTAAGCCATGCGTGTCGTATGAGGCGACTAAAATGCCGGGAGCAATGGGCTAGTAACCCCTTCTCCTGTATACATTTACTAAAAAAGAAAAAAGAAAAACTTTATAAAACTGGGATGCTTAAATGTGCGTGGATGTAGTGCGGATGACAAGAAACAGATGATTGCTGATGTTATGAATGAAAAGAAGTTGGATGTCCTGGCTCTAAGCGAAACAAAGCGAAGGGGGTAGGAGAGTTTCAGTGGGGGGAAATAAATGGATTAAATCTGGAGTATCTGAGAGAGTTAGAGCAAAGGAAGGGTAGCAGTAATGTTAAATGATCAGTTATGGAAGGAGGAAAGAGAATATGAATGTGTAAATTCAAGAATTATGTGGATTAAAGTAAAGGTTGGATGCGAGAAGTGGGTC